CATAAGTTTTGTTTTCTATGTCTGTGTGTCTGTTTCTGTTTTATACATCATTTGTGTTGCGTTTTAGATTCCACATATAAGTGATATCATAGTATTTGTCTTTCTGACTCACTTGATAATGTGAAGGACAGTATGATAATCTCTAGGTTTATCCATACTGCTGCAAATGGCATTATTTCATTCTTTTTTATGACTGAGTAGTATTCAATTGTATATGTGTATCACATCTTCTTTATCCATTCATTTATCAATGGACATTTAGGTTGCTTTCCTGTCTTGTCTATTAGTATCATTTGTATTTCTTCATTAAACTTACAAGATCTGTCCATATCCATTTTTCCCTCAAAGAATTAAGGAGTGTTTTATTATCAAGGAGATTATGCTTAAATTTTCTTAAAAAGAACAAATTTCTGATTTTAGGGCAGTATGATTTTAAAAAGTGCTCTATGATTCTTATTTGAGAGAATGTGAGGACTTCTTTGCAAATCAAAATTAAAATTGTAGAATCAATTTAGTCTACAACTATAGAATTTAAAATTTGTAGAATCAATTTTACCAATCGTTACAGACATTTGAAAAGACTGGTATTGTCTTTACAGTACAAAGTTTGAAATATTTATTAGAGCTACTACTATGTAGCAAACTATCTCAAAGTCCAGTGGCTTAATAAGAACTTACTAACTTCTTCATGCATCTATAAAGTCAGTCTGTGCTGGTTTACCCGTTCTCACCTGTCATCAGTGCTTGCTGCATCAGCAGCTATGTGGATACTGGCTAGGATCTTTCATGTGTTTTGTGGCTGGCTGGCTGTAAACTGGGGCCCACATCTCTCTTCCACATGGTCTCTCATGCTTGAGCACATCAGCCTGGGCTTGTTTACATAGAGAAGCAGAGATCCAAGAAAGAATAAGGAAGCAAACAGAGACAAGGCTGGAAACCTGCAAGCTGTCACTTTTGCCACATGCTATTAGAAAGTCAGCCCAAATTCAAGAGGTCAAAAGAGACTCCACTTTGCAATAAGAGGAACTGCAAAGTCACACTGTAAAGAGCATGAATATAGGAAAAGAGTCACGAACTATGGCCAGATAGATAAAATGAACTTAAATCATTTAAATCAGATTTTCTTATGCTGGGGTCCACTATGGAAACTTGAAACTTTAAGATGACCTTCAGGAGGTTTAGAAATGGTTTCAAATTGACTGCAGAATGTGTTCCTCCAAATGTGCATTAAACCCTTTTAGGTTCATTTATGCCTTTCCTTAAATTCCACTTCATTTGATATTAATATCGCCATTCCTTACTTTCCAGAATAAAAATTTTATGAGTCTCCTTGGGCCGTTAAGTGAAAATAATTATTAATTGAGTCCCTACTGGATAAACATAAAAAAACATTTTACTTGAGTGCACAAGGATGATTCACTTACCAATATTTTCTCTTTAATCCAATCAATTTGTTGTTCCATAACAGATACATCCTAAGCTGTATACGAACGTAACTCACAGTAGGCTGGCTTGCTTAAGACTAAAGGCTAAAACCTATCTCATACAGAGATTGGACCCTAGACAGTTACATCAGGCAATGGCTGAGAAGAGGGGCCTATTCCTAGAAGTGTTAATAATGTCATCTATGTAATTTTGTCCTGCTTTAGAATCTTTCTGGAAGCTCACCCACTCCAAAACCTTTCCTGTTTTAAACCCACACACGTGACTGAGCTCTTCTTAGTCAACTAAAATTGTTACTACAACCTCTGCATTAAAATGAAATCCATGGAAAAAATCCAATCATTTTCATCACTTGTGGAGAAACACATCCATTTTATTTTGTAATGTTCACAGTATACTCACTTCACATGTCCTTCCCCTCAGGGTTAGCTGGAGCCTCATTCACAGTTTGGTAACTCGGGAGTCAGTTCCAGAGACAGTATACTCCCCTCTGCATCACACATCCTACATACTTCTCAACTTCTGGAAGGATGAAATGGTCCTAACGTTCATACAGTTGAAAACAACCCAAACTGGTCTGACAACATAACCCTTTAACTGATCCATATGACATTTTTCATCTTTACCTTTTCCCCTCACTATATATCTAAAAAAATTAATTTCCCCAAAACCCAAAGACAGTTTTCCAGGGTGCCCTGATGTCTACTCCCAAAGTCCTATTTCTCTGCTCTTGTAACATCAGCACAGTGAACGCGTGTAATTACTGACTTACTGAATTACTCTGCTTTTCCCAGTAGAGTGTGAGCTCCACAGCAGGGGTTGATTCCTTTTTCACTACCTGTATCCTCCCAGGCATATAATGGTTGCCCAATAAACTGAGCTTCTTCAAAAGCTTCTTCATCTGCTTACCTGGGTATGTTCATCACGTGATCATTTATTCAGCTAAATTTGTGATTGGTGCAATTCCTCAAAGTGCTGTTGTTGCTGTTGTTTAGACACTCAATCATGTGTGACTCTGTGACCCCAAGGACTGTAGCTCGTCAGGCTCCTCTGTCCACAAGATTTCCCAAGCAAGAATACTGGAGTGGGTTGCCATTTCCTTCTCCAGAGGATCTTCACGACCCAGGGACTGAACCTACATATCCTGCTTGGCAGATGGATTCTTTACCACTGAGTCACCTACAAAGCCCTCCTGAATGTGCTATACACTGACAAAAAAAAAGTTTAAATCTATCATAATTCTCTGGAGAAAAAAAAAGGAAATTACAAGCATTCAGATATTGTTAAGAGAGAAGACATCAATTTCTGAACCATGTAGAGTTAATTTCAGCATGGAAACTAACCAGATGTACTTAGCAACAGTCACAATGGGAAAGGTTCATTGAGATAATGTATACACCATGTTGAAAACAGTACCCAGTCCTGAAGGTTAGCAATTAGTACACTTTAACATACCAGAAGCATTTCCAAATGAAGGTTGAATCTTAGATTACAAGCAAACGTTCTTCATTAGACTCCAAGATGTTTTGTTCTTACCTATTTCAAAACAGTTTCAACAGCCTGATGAAGGAGCATCCTCATTTATGCGATTTATAGTTACGGAGTCCACAACACCACCTGGAGTGTTTCAGGCACAACCAAGGAAGTAAAAACTCTTGAAATTAAAACTCATACAGAATCTGCCCCGAGAGAAAGCCTAGAGACCCTCTGGTCCAGGGATTCTTAGCCACACATCACTGGGGCATTCATTACCAGTGCAAACCCCTGGTCCCCCACACCAAACCCTGACTCATTAAGTTGGAGTGAGACCCAGGGATTTGGATCTTTTAGCAAGCCCTTCAAGTGATTCTGAAGGTGTTCTTCAGACAACTCTGAGCCTCTTATCTTCTAGGTGAATTAAATGGAGGCCAGGCACGGAGGAGACCTGCCCAGAGTCTTCCTTCTGGTTAGTCATTATGCCAAGACTAGAACAAAAGTCGCCTTCTACCACTCCAGTGTTATTTCCATGCTTCCATGCTATAATATCTTAGGACCCAGAATGAATCTGCCCTACACCTCAGTGGCTTATTCACTGAGTCCTCTGTCTTTTTTATCCATACATTAGGTTAACTGCAGAGGCCTAGAAATATTCCCGTATATTCATTAGTGAAGTGAAGTCGCTCAGTCAGACTCTTTTCGACCCCTTGGACTATAGCCCACCAGGCTCCTCCATCCATGGGATTTTCCAGGCAAGAATACTGGAGTGGGTTGCCATTTCCTGCTCCAGGAGATCTTCCCAACCCAGGGATTGAACTCGAGTCTCCCACATTGTAGGCAGATGCTTTACCATCTGAGCCACCAGAGAAGTCTATTCATTAGGTATGCATAAATAGATACTTAAACTAGAGTTTAAATCGTAGTCCAATATTTACAAACTGTGTAACCCAGAGATAGTTATTTGTAAAATATAGCACAGAGCATGTCAAATAATGAGGTCCCAATAAATAGTAGCTATTATTAATGCCATCTTAAAACATGGCACTGAAGCTACATTCTTCATCTGACTTGAAGTGCAGTCCCCGAAAACAGAATCATCTGCAAGTGCTTATTTAAAACAAGATTTCTAGTGAATCAGAATCTTTGGGGGAGGGGAGCAGAGAGGGACCCAGAAGGCTGCATTAATAAGCACCCCAGGTTCTTCCTCTGCATATAAACATTAGAGAAACACTGGACTAGGGCCGTGGACAGAGTGCCTCTTGTCTGACAACAAGAACCAGGCAGTGCTGAATACTCTTAACAATTTCTGCTAACAAGAGGGAAGTGAGTGCCATCTACTGCCTTATTTTAGAATGCAATGCTGAGATTGGTTCTAATTGAATTCACTCTGAAAAAAATGAATCAATCCTAAACAAGATAGCCAAGCAACAGAAAGCACTGTTGGAAGGAGACATAAAAACAGTTATTTTTTAGGAAAATAAACTTTATAAGTTAAATGATTTTTGTAGTTTTAGATTAATATATCTAATGAATTCCTATAATTTCAAGTTTTGGCTAAAATAGTAAAGGATAATATAAACCCTCACCCACTAGTCAATGCCAACAGTGAAAGGAAAAACTGAACCACAGAATGCTCTAAAATACTGCAGTGAAACAACATGCAGGCATGCCCCCCTCCACCACCCCTCCCTTAGTCTCAAGAGAAAAATCAAGTGAAATAATGACAGGTTTTCTTATCCTATAACTTTCTACTCAAGTCCAGTATCAAAATTACCAACTGCAGGGCACTAGCTACAAAGTTAACATTCCTTTCAAATGGTACTCAAAAAAAGCCTTCTGAATTATATAGTCTGTCACTATGTTTAAAGCTGATTTCCCCTTCCTAGTTGCAAAGACATAAAATATACCCAGAGGCTCACGAGAAATGGACAGAGCTTTATAAATATTCATATAAAACCAGCAGGGGTACTTCATATTTCAATAATTCAATAACGATTCATAAAAAGCATTTGTCTTTAATTTTTGTTGGTTTTAAGAAACAAATGGTAAAATATATACACCATGGAGTCTGAATAGTCCCATCATAGAGCATGAATGATGGTCCGGTTGCGAAGCTCCTGGATATACTCTTTGGCGTGGGTTACTGCTGTCTTTGGTGCCTCAGGTGGAGGTGGAGGGCCTTCCACCAACTTCACAAAATAATGGCAAAAAACCTTCTCCATAATCCCAAAGCGACCTCTGCCGTGGTATCGGATGCGTTTCAGGTATTGGCCCCGCCCTGAGGTGGACTCAGCTAAACAGGGAAGAAAAAGAGAATTACACAAAACAACCATAACTATATCTGCAAGATTACAGTTTGATCGGCTGAGCAATTTCTGTCTTCTCAGCTAAATTCTAAGATTACATGCGCTCACTGGCTGGCTAGAGTAGGCTTATCTAAAGACAAGTATCTCCTGAGTTCTTCCTTAGAGATCAGGCTCCGTCTCAGGTCCTGGAGAAGTAAGAGTGAATAAGACCAGCAAGGGCCCTGGCTCCATACAGTGGACACTCTAGAGAAGAATGACAGAAAACAAACACCATCATTTGAGTTAGTGACAAGTGCTATGAATAAAACAAACAGTGATGTGAGAGACTGAGGGGGTGTTTTGGGGGCAACTTGAGACTGGGTGGTATCAAGAGGCATCCTTGAGGAAAAGACATTTGATCCAAGAGCAGAATGAATCATTCATGCAAATATCTAACGGCAAGGTGTTCCAGGCTGAGGAAAGAGCAAACACAAAGCTCCAAAGGTAAGAACATCCTTGGCTTATTTCAGGCCCAGAACCTGCTAAAGCACAGTAAGCAAGGCGAAGAGTGATACAAGTAAGGGCAACAGATCAGAAATGAACATAAGACTACACAGAGCCCTGAAGTTGTAGGAACAACATTCTTATTTTATTCTAACTATATGAGAAACCTCTGGAACCAATGGTTCCCAAATGCTATCCTCAGCCTACTACATCAAACAAACCTAGGGAACACATTTAAAATGCTGATGCTGATCTTCTAATTTATATCTGGAGTGGGCCTTGGAAATTATATCCTGAACAAACAACATCCCCCAATCCAGGCAACTCTGATTCAGAGTCAGGTTTAGGAACTCCTGCATCACATCTATCCCCTCATCTCCCTGCCCCTATTCTACATGTCAAGGTTTGACCTTGTAAAATTTGAAGAAATCTTTTAAATAGTACAAGATGCAATCTATTCACCTGTTCACCCATGGTAAATCATAGTAACTACCTTCTGAATTTAGTCTTATTTTTTAGTTAATTTAATAAGCCTTTTAAAAAGGCAAAATCTATAGCACACATAGCAAATTAATTCACTTTTATACTCACCACTTTTATTCTTACTGTGACAGAACTTTGTATTACAGAGACCATGTCAAAGTATGTGCTCCACAAGCCTCTGACCACAAACCTCTCATGAAGTGATTTTAGCAGAACCATCCCAGCTTTGCCAAAGAGAAAGCTAAGGATGAAAGTGACTAAGAAAACTGCCTGGGGTTTCAGTGAGATAAGGTGAGAGGTAACTGCCTATTTATTAAAATCATCTACTGGGCACTAAAGAAATGAATTTAAGAATTTCCAAAGATAGGGGTAACGGGCAGGTGGGTGAAATGGATGAAGTGAGTCAAAAGGTATAAACTTTTAGTTATAAAATAAATAAGCCATGGGAATGTAATGTACAGCATGGTGACTGTAGTCAATAATACCCATACTGCATATTTGAAAGTTGAGAAGAGATATTACAAGATCTCGTCACAAGGAAAAAAAAAACTGTAACAATGTATGGTGACAGACGCTAACTAGATGTGTTATGGTGATCACTTTGCAATACCGAATCATCCAGCTGTACACCTGGAACTAACATAACGCTGCATGTCAATTACACTTCAATAAAAAATGTTTTTTTAGTTTTTCCAAACAAAAACCAGTATTACACAAATCACTTTATAATATAAAGTACTTCCAGGTGCTTTGAATCCACTTGTCAGGAGGAATCCTAAAAATAAAACCACTGACACTGGGAAGAGTGTAGAAACTTCTGTAAAGATTTTACAAACATGATGGCTAATTTTATCCAAAACTACTACTCTACCCAATTTGAGCAACAATTTCCAAATGCTCTGAGAATAAGGACTGCTACACTCCAGGGAAAGAAGTATCAAAATTAGCTAACTGTGCAACACTACATAATCTATCAAAACACAATGACCAGTGCTATCAGGGTCTATGCTAACTACCATTTTCTTTCCATTTCTCCCAAAATACCTAAGAGCAAACATTCAGAACCTGCGAAATGCCAGCTATGATTTCCTCTTTAGGCCATAAAATAACATTTGCCTAACCTTCATGCATATAATGCCATCACTTTTTTATGTCAAAACAAAAACATTAATTCTTCTGAAACACCAGGATTCTTTAACACCCTGGAATGGGAATATACAACACAACCACTCAGATCTAAACGAAATCAGGGTTTACAGTATAGATTCCAAATTAGTTTATGGTCTCCCCTCCTCCAGTCTCTCCTCCACTAATTATGTATGTTGAGTTTCAAACTGCTTTAGTACAGAACTATTTCAATTAAAATAAAACAGTATGTAGACGCCCACTTTAATAGCAATCTGTCCTAAATGAAACTTGGAATCTTTGAATTTCATGGCTGCAGTCACCATCTGCAGTGATTTTAGAGCCCAAAAAATAAAGTGTGTCACTGTTTCCATTGTTTCCCCATCTATTTCCCATGAAGAGATGTCTCTGCTAAATTTGCTCAAATTCTAAACTAAATTTCATAGTTTCCCAAGTACACACAGTACTAATATGTACGGTTTTGGTCCAACTCAGAACAATTTGCATATTCTTCCCAGTACTTCCTCTCACTAGGGAGCAGGGGCCCCTGCAAGTGCTGGCATCTAGTTGAGGTCACATGCAGACTCTCACCCAAGGTGTTGGAAGACCAACGTGCTGTCACTCAGCAATGCTGCTCTGGCTTGCCAGCCAGACTGAGTGACTTCACTTTTCTTTCTTTCCAAAGTACTCAGTTCAGTCAGTTCAGTTCAGTCGCTCAGTCATGTCCGACTCTTTGCGACCCTATGAATCACAGCACGCCAGGCCTCGCTGTCTATCACCAACTCCTGGAGTTTACTCAAACTCATGCCCATCGAGTCGGTGACACCATCCAGCCATCTCATCCTCTGTCGTCCCCTTCTCCTCCTACCCCCAACCCCTCCCAGCATCAGTCTTTTCCAATGAGTCAACTCTTCGCATGAGGTGGCCAAAGTATTGGAGTTTCAGCTTCAGCATCAGTCCTTCCAATGAACACCCAGGACTGATCTCCTTCAGGATGGACTGGTTGGATCTCCTTGCAGTCCAAGGGACTCTCAAGAGTCTTCTCCAACACCACAGTTCAAAAGCATCAATTCTTCAGCACTCAGCTTTCTTCACAGTCCACTCTTACATCCATACATGACCACTGGAAAAACCATAGCCTTGACCAGACAGACCTTTGTTGGCAAAGTAATGTCTCTGCTTTTTAATATGCTATCTAGGTTGGTCATAACTTTCCTTCCAAGGAGTAAGCATCTTTTAATTTCATGGCTGCAGTCACCATCTGCAGTGATTTTGGAGCCCAAAAAATAAAGTCTGACACTGTTTCCACTGTCTCCCCATCTATTTTCCATGAGGTGATGGGACCAGATGCCATGATCTGAACATTGAGCTTTAAGCCAACTTTTTCACTCTCCTCTTTCACTTTCATCAAGAGGCTTTTCAGTTCCTCTTCACTCTCTGCCATAAGGGTGATGTCATCTGCATATCTGAGGTTACTGATATTTCTCCCAGCAATCTTGATTCCAGCTTGTGCTTCTTCCAGCCCAGCATTATATGACATACTCTGCATATAAGTTAAGTAAGCAGGGTGACAATATACAGCCTTGACATACTCTATTTGGAACCAGTCTGTTGTTCCATGTCCAGTTCCAACTATTGCTTCCTGACATGCATACAGGTTTCTCAAGAGGCAGGTCAGGTGGTCTGGTTTGCCCATCTCTTTCAGAATTTTCCACAGTTTATTGTGATCCACACAGTCGAAGGCTTTGGCATAGTCAATAAAGCAGAAATAGATGTTTTTCTGGAACTCTCTTGCTTTTTCGATGATCCAGCAGATATTGGCAATTTGATCTCTGGCTCCTCTGCCTTTTCTAAAACCAGCTTGAACATCTGGAAGTTCTCGGTTCACGTATTCCAAAGTACTACTACTGACAAAAAACAAAGCTACAAGTACTAAATGTTTTAACTACTACAAAAGATACACCATCACCTGATTGTGTGGGTATTACACCCACTGAAAAGCAAAAGCAAGTCACTCAGTCATGTCCAACTCTTGTGACCCCATGGACTGTAGCCCACTAGGCTCCTCTGTTCATGGAATTCTCCAAGCAAGAATTCTGGAGCTGGTTGCCATTTCCTTCTTCAGGGGATCTTCCCAACCCAGGGATCAAACCCAGGTCTCCAGAATTGCAGGCAGAACCTTATCAACTGAGCCACCAGGGAAGTAGGCACTCAAATATTTTTTGAATCAAAGAAAAAACATTAAGATATCTTAAAAGTAGAAATGACCTTCAAAGATATTGCCCAGCAGGTACCATGTATTGAAAATACTCTCAATATTTCCGATTACTTGTATTTAGGTAAATGCAAATCTTAACATTAACTTCAGAAACCCTCCCCACTTCCCCCCTCATCAGTCTTAGCCCAGAAGACTGATTTACAAAGTCAGTCGTTCACATTCCCTGAAGTGAACTACTTTAAGATGCTATGAATCACGAAGCAGTGACATTTTATTAGTCCATGTCCACTTGTTAAGGCCTATCACTGTGTCATTAGTCATCATTACAAGTTTGAAAAGGAAATGAACTTTCAAAGTCTATGGTCATGCAACACCAGGTATGAGCTTTAGACTGATGACAAGCATTTGAAGGAATTACCACATAATGAGAAGTTATGCTACCAAAAAAAGTACATCCCTTAAAATGTATGAACTTACTTATCTCAGGGGACTGAAAGAGCTTTTGCTGAGCCAAACCGGCAGTCAACAAGTAACTAGGCTTTCAAACTCTAAAAGAAATCTATGGAATGAACTATCTAGGCCTTCTCAAAGACTGTAAGATCAATCAGTTTCCCACATTTTATAAAAAGGTAAGAATCAATAGACTTTACCCAAGCCTCTCCCTTAGGGTTTCAGTCTGTAGTGAAGCCTGGGAATCTGTGTTTTTAATAAGTGAAAGTGAAAGTCACTCAGTTGTGTCTTACTCTAGAACCTCAGACAATTCATATCAGGGAAGTTTAGCAAACACAGGGATAAACTGCCTGATGTGTTGTGGTCAGATAAAGTATCTTCCTGGGGGTACTCATCTCCTTTTCCTTCATAACAGAATTAGGCAACAAAATACTTAGCAAATGAGTTTTTAAAATCATAAGACAAATCCAGACTTAATAGCCCTACTTAAGAACAGAGATTTTGACCCAGAACTAGATGAAAAGAAGGTACAGGAGGGGCAGAGGTGTCTCAGCAGAAACGTGCATAAGAAGACCCTATATGCAAAACAGAAAAAGAGACACAGATGTACAGAACAGACTTTTGGACTCTGTGGGAGAAGGCAAGAGTGGGATGTTTTGAGAACAGCATCGAAACATGTATATTATCAAGGGTGAAACAGATCACCAGCCCAGGTTGGATGCATGAGACAAGTGCTCGGGGCTGGTGCACTGGGAGACCCAGAGGGATCGGGCAGAGAGGGAGGTGGGAGGGGGGATCGGGATGGGAAATAACATGTAAATCCATGGCTGATTCATGTCAATGTATGACAAAAACCACTATAATATTGTAAAGTAATTAGCCTCCAACTAATAAAAATAAATGAAAAAAAAAAAAAGAAGAAGACCAGTACATTTTAAAGGACCATTCACAGTTAAGTTGATTTTTGCTTAAAGGTAATATTGGACTTTGCTCCTTCATTTGGGAAGACAGGATTAAGGTCTTCACCCCCTCGCTATATATACTAACTACTGAAACGGATTTAAACAAATTCCATTTCACTTGCATCTGAATTCCATTATGAAATGCTGCCGATCAGCTAAGAAGCCAATATTCTTATGAAATTGAATAAAATTAATTAAATGTCACTTGATATTCAGTCATGGAGCAGGAAAGGTCACCAAGAGGTTTTAAGCAAATGGTCTTGCCCTTCATCCATTTCATCTCTTCCGGTGATTCTGGGTCCTTCCAGCATTTCTTATTCATGCTTCTCCCAGAAGAAAATGCTTATGATTAACTACTATGGCCTGCATCTTCTGAGTTGCCATTTTGATTCCCCTCTAGCTCTAAGCATGTATCAGAATATAATTAATTTTACAAGATTCAGCTTTAAAATAAGATGTTTCAATTGGAAACCATAACTCATTTTAATTTCAGAAGTAGGTGTAGCTGCCAACATCAATACCAGGTGAGGTAAGGTAAGATATTAACCAAAATAAACAGCTCCAGTAGGGCAGAGGTTATGTGACAAAGTGGAATTTAGATGATCTTTTAAAATGCTAATTGATGAAAAACTACAAGGTACAGCTAACTTCCACTATAATGATTCAGCCTTTTCCCCTCCGTGTGGAGAGCAGTAGTTCCCATATCCTGAATTTGAAATATCTTTAGTGAAAGAGTTCTTATACATAGGTTTGGTGGACTGAGAAAATTCTGCTTTGACATAAACATCTCTGTTTGATGACAAAACTGAAGTCAGGAGTAACTGCTGCATTAACTCCAACCTATGCTCCGCCTTACTGCAGTACTGTGGTGGGATGGGGAAGAGCTTTGTAATAAACACTGACCTCTTTCTAGAAAAAGATCAGTATGAAGGTATGCTACCAAAAAATCCTTTACATTTGTATAGTACAGCATGCCTTCCAAAACATTTTCACTTACATTAAATAGATGTGAGACAAGCCTACAAAACCAGAGCTAATGCTTTAGGATGTTAAGAACTAAGAGGAACCAACACATCTGGGCCAGGCTTTTATAATTCAACAGATGATTTTCCATTCTGGTATTAGGAGGGCTAACTTACAGGATACCTTTATGGATGAGGCACCTGGCATGGCACATTATCTATAAAGACTTTCTAAGTCCACTGTGATCCTTTATATATCTCTTTTGGGTTGACAAAGAATTCATTTTTTAAAAAATCAGCTACATTCTTATTATGAGTAAAGGACCACTCTACGTATCATCTTGATATCCATTATTTAGTAACTATCAGCAATAGATTTCATGATCTCAATCTCATTAAAGAACAAATAAAAATAAAGCAGTTAGGACCACTACAACAGACTTAACATTAGCATGCAGAAGACTAAAAAATAAGCTATTACCAGCAACTTCCAATGGTAAACATAGTCCAAAGTATTTAGATATCAAAGACTGTTATTAGATAAAGAACTTGGCATCATTACTGGAAGATATTTTCCAAAGCTAAGAATATTAAAGATCTTACCTATATATAAATTGGATCTGAATTCCACATTGTGGTCTCTTACTGCCATATCTTGTGCTTCTAAGAGAACCTTAAACAAGGAAAAGAAAGGCATTCATATGGCTGACCTTGAACTAAAACTGAATTAAATTTTTCATTTCTTGTTGTTATCTCTATATGACTGCTAATCACATGCTTTCCTATTATAGTCAGTTTTAAAAAGAGAATATAAAATGATAACAGCACTAAGGAGAATGGATACAGTGAGTTTCCTTCCTCAGACAAGAATTGCAAATGCAAAGAACACAGTCAATCCTGCTAAATTTTAACTGGAATGTGTAAGCTGTAAAGGAGGAGATAACACCACTAGCAGCAGCACCCCTGGTAATGAGCATTATGCCTCTGAGTCACAGACTTTGCCAAAAAGTTCAAGAAGCTAAAGAGCTCAATCTTACTGAAAATTCTTAAACTTTGGATCCAAAATAATCATTAACAACATCAGACAAAAAGAGAAAATCATACTTGAAAATTTCCTTTAAGAATTATTAAGTTTAGGGATTTCCCTGGTGGTCCAATGGTTAAGACCCCAAGCTTTCAATGTAGGTGACGCAGGTTCAATCCCTCGTCAGGGAACTAAGATCCCCACGTGCCAGATGGCACAGCCAAAAAATAAAAACAAAACAAGAAAAGAATTATTAAATTTATACTCCATAAATATTTTGAATTAACTTTCTCCAGAACACATTTTTTTAAAATAGGACAATAGTTGTCAGAAATAACAGAAAGCAGATCTTTTTCTCCTTTAAAGATGAAGAATGTAATACAAAGCTGGGTACACAACAAATACTTAGTAATTGCATTCTGAATGGAAATAAATAAGAGGCATTACAAAAGAACCTCTTAGAAGTCTGAATCCAACAAGCTCAGCTATTCAACTACTAAAAGATCTGACTTAATGTGAAAATTAACTGAAGTACAGAAAATAATGTTGATTTCCCCAGATGTCCTCAACTCAGCTTTCTGAAACAAAACACTAGAATGAGTCGGCATAAATACCAACAATATATTTGCACCAAGTGAATCAGCTACATTTAGAGCTAGAGGGGTCTTTAGAGATCATCCAATTCAACTCCACCTAGTTTCCAAATAAGAAAAATGGAACCAGACAAGTGCCTTGCCCATAGTCACAACAGAAATTGTCAGAGAAAAGATAAGACCAGGTCACCAGAGTCCCAGTCCAGTGCTTTTTCCACTCAATTAGTTATAAAATCCCAAGCTCTCAGTTGTGGAATTGACAAAAAAAAAAAAAATCTACTTAAAAAAAAAAAAATCTTCTAAAATAATGTATCCAGACCAAATAATTTAAAATAAGATGTATATAAATGACTTTGTGGTACAAATAAAAGCATCTCAGGAAAAAGAATACTTAAAGCAGAGAACATCCCTAAGGTATAAGAACAGTAATAAAACTGAGTACCCTAAATCTGTATAATATAAATTCTGCACTTAAACAAGTTAATTCCAGATTTAGGCAAAGCTTACTAACATCTGCAAGACAACTATGTGCTCTTTCCCCATCAATCTTAGTTTACCTCTTTAATTATCTGGGCTCCTTTTTTGTCACTGAATTCCAATTGAGCCAGAGCCTGGTCAATTGACATTCCTCGTATCTAGAATTAAAGGAAAACAGACAAGAGAAAATAAATAAATTAGTTTACAAAGTCAGCATTGCCACTTCAGTGAAAAGTAAAAGCTTTACATAATCCAAATAAACTTCTAAAAATAGCCAACAAGTTACATGTTAATTACATCTCAGTAAAATTAGGGAAAATTTTTTCATTAAAGATAAAAATAGCTAATAAATGCAAAGGAGAAAAATACACATTTCAGAAGGTATGCCATCACTCTCTTTAAGTTAAAATCAAACTTTAAAATTTCAACCACTAACCTGGATTTTAATAGTTTTAATAATAATGAAAGAGAGCAGACATGACAAAGAAAGATCATAGGTTGGCAAGTACCCTAGTAGGCATAAAAGGCATCTCATTCTCCTACAGAATAAATGTATTATTACACATGTATTTGCTGCTTTTGTGTTCTCTCATATATAAGTTTTATTTTCTGGGTAAAAAAGTTAAAAGGCAACAGTTTTGAAACAGGTTGAATCAGCTTTTACAGATATGTAAGTTTGCTTCCTATATTCTCTAAGTGTAGCCAGGTTCTCGATGTCTTTGTTCTAAATCTATGTATCCAACATGATTGAGATTCTCAGGAGGCAAAAACTGAACAAAATCACTAATCTCTGAGCTATCATTTTTGGATTACCTACCAAATGTCTGAAAATGTAATTATATTCCTCACTTTTTGGAGAAAACAGGACAAGTTTTTTTTTTGTTTTTTGGTTTTCTTCAAATATTAGGATAAAATTTGAACCTTCTTTCCTAAAGTATTATATGGTAATAGTCACTTTAGCTTACCAATTTCGCCAAATACCACATCTTGTCTTTGCTGTACTTTATTTGTCTTCGACAATGGTATATTTCCTTACAAACAGGGAAAAAAATTAAGCAAGTCTATCAAAATGACAGTAACACACTATTAATACAGTTCTTACTTTCTAATGCCTAATGAAATGCTGCCATAAGAAATAAAAACATTATCAAGAATATGGAGACTCTTTTTTCCCTATTTAAACCTGTATTTTTCCAAAGTCTCACTATGTTATAAAGATTACTAAGGGAAAAACAAACTGTAAAATGGCTAGTTTGTGACAACATTTGCAATGCTTCTATACAGGTGAATAGTAAAAGACTTAAATGAAAGTATTTTAAAAATATTTAGCTGGCTAAAACAAGAAAGCATACAAAAAGAAAGTTTCTTCTTAGTGAGGAAAACAATGGAAAAATGGATAGAACAGCTATTTTTGTAAGAAAACCAATACTGTGGGTGTCTGGTGAAGAGCATAGGTTCTAGAATCAAACTACCTGGGTTTGAATCCCCACTCTACCATTTACCAACTACAGAACCCAAGGTCCTTCACCTGTTTCTGGTTAAGTTTCTTCTTTAAAATGAAGATAATAGTACCTAACACCGAAAACTATAATAAGGATTAAATAAACTAACCTATATGAAGTACTCTACAGTGCCTCGGAGAAGGCAATGGCACCCCACTCCAGTACTCTTGCCTGGAAAATCCCATGGACGGAGGAGCCTGGTAGGCTGCAGTCCATGGAGTTGCTAAGAGTCAGACACGACTGAGCGACTTCACTTTCACTTTTCACTTTCATGCACTGGAGAAGGAAATGGCAACCCACTCCAGTGTTCTTGCTTGGAGAATCCCAGGGACGGGGGAGCCTGGTGGGCTGCCGTCTATGGGGTCGCACAGAGTCGGACACGACTGAAGTGACTTAGCAGCAGCAGCAGCAACAGTGCCGAGCACATGGTAAGATCTTAGTAAATACTAGGTTTTTATTATCTTCTATTTATAGAGGGTAGGTATATCCCACTGAATTTTTTAATCAACCATCCATTAAACAATTTATAGTTCATAAAGCATTTTTCAAGCCCTTTATTTCATATGATCTAACTCTATGAGGTGGGAGAAAAAACATTTTATAAATCTTTCACAAAATGAAAATCAGAGAACTCAAGTGACTTGTCCAAGATAGCAAAGCTCATAAGAGACAAAGCTAGAGCCACCCAGGGAAGTATGTGAAGGGCCTAATACAATGTCTGGCAGGTGTATCATTAAAGTTCTCCTCATGACTCTAAAACCCACACTCTTTCTACTACTACACCACACTGCCACTTAAAAATCAGAAAAAAACATTTTCAAGGCAAATAACAGCAGAAAAACCGCAGAACTTTTTAACATTCTGAGCCCTACTAGAAGTTTACAAATGACTTAGAAACACCAGCTAGTCTCAAGTGGCCATCTTTCAATATGTAGCAGATTTCAGTTCTGTTGCAGTAGAAGCTGACAGGCTGAAAAGTATAGCAACAGCCTAATTACATTTTCAGTAATAATCTGTCCTGGGGAGCACAGGAGAGGAAAGAACTGCCATGACTGATAATATTAATCTGCAAAAATTAATACTCAAACAAAGTCTTTTATATAGAAACCTTTCAACTCTTGGTTTCCCATGGTGAGATATTGTTAAATCTGAATTGTATATAATCATCTTCAAATATTAAAAAAAAAAAAAATACACTGTAATCCTGGCAAAACACTGGGAAAAAAGAAATCAAGTGTTACCAGAAAAGGTGAAAGGTACTCAATCATCGTCTATCTAAAACTATAAAGCCCAACGTTTACTTGAGGCAGGTGCATTGTGTAAGGGCACTAAACCAGATGAAGTCTCAGTAAATAAACCTACCACGGCAAACAGATAAAGTGGCAAAGTTGGAGGTCAGAAGGCTTGGTTAAACATCACTGCTATTAATTAACCTACACAGTAAAATTAGGTAAAGTTACATTAGAATATAATGTGGAAACAGCTATTCAAATAAAGTAAAAGTCTAAATTATGAAATGCCTAAACCAGTAACTTGTAAAGAGTTTTATTTTTAAATGCATATAATGACACAAACAGCAACAAAAAATGTCACCTAATAAAAGTTTTAGAGTACAGAGGATCCACATTAATGACTCATAAGAATGACATATGATCAGTATGTCAATTAATCCACAAAGTAAAAACATGCCTCTAGAAATGACCGTTCAAATAGTTTTGATACAGTTTCACTACTAATTTAGCTTTCTTCAAAAACACATAAAAAGTCAAGCTCAATTTAACAAGGTATGACTACTTTGCATGTATATATATTTTAAAAAGTCTTTAATTTCTGACTTACTTTCTTTACCAGGATGAAGTCACATGTAAGATACAGTGTCTATAGGAGCCTGCATTGTTTAGAAACTTATACTAGCTAAATTAGGAAGACAGTTTTAAAAATAAAGGAGTGGTCTAAACTGGTGACATTCATTTTAAATTATTGCTATAGGATTTATTCATTGCCCCATCTACTAATCTTTAACTACATATTCCAAATGCTGAAGAACAGAATGAGATAGAATGGTAAATATTATCTAGCCCTCTTTTAAGCAAGAGGTAATACTAACTTTCTAAATGTTTGCAGCTAACAGACTGAAAAGTCTAAGGGACACTGCAAATAACGACACAGTGTGTAAACTATGTGGCTAGGTGAGCAAATTATTCCCTGTTAATAAGCAAGGTATTTATAGTAAAAAAAAGTGAAAGTCGCTCACTCTTGTCCGACTCTTTGCAACCCACTGAACTGTAGCCCACGAAGCTCCTCTCTCCATGGAATTCTCCAGGCAAGAATATTGGAGTAGGTAGCCATTCCCTTCTCCAGATCTCCCAGACCCAGGGATCAAACTCAGGTCTCCTACATTGCAGGCAGCATTTATAAACAGCATTAATAATTACAGGTGTGAGAACTGGACCATAAAAAAGGCTGAGTGCCAAACAATTGATGCTTTGGAACTGTGGTGTTGGAGAAGACACTTGAGAGTCCCTTGGACTGCAAGGAGATCAAACCAGTCAATCGTAAAGGAAATCAACTCTGAATATTCATTGGATGGACTGATGCTGAAGCTCCAATTCTTTGGCCACCTGATGCAAAGAGCTGACTGGAAAAGACTCTGAGACTAGGAAACATTTGAGGGCAAGATGAGAAGGAGGTGAAAGAGGATGCAATGCTTGGATGACATCACGACTCAATGGACATGGGTTTGAGCAAACTCTGGGAGATAGTGAAGGACAGGGAAGCCTGGTGTGCTGCAGTCCAAGAGTTGGATAATTTAGGCATGACAGATATAACTGATACCTCAAGATCAATTTATCAAATACTATTTAAAATCAGAAAATGTTAAGGTATTTTCCAAAAGGATTACTTTCTCAAACAAAATCTGTGCAAAATAGAGAACTAAATTAGGTTTCTCCAAAGTGCCCATATAAAATCAAACCAAATGTCTTCACACAGGCACTTATATTATAGGAAGAGTATATATGATGCAAAAGTTACTCAAAATAGTTTCAGTAAATTCCAATATATAGCAAATTATCTCACTAACATTGTTCTTCATTTGCTAGAGTTAGGCATATGATCTACTGTTAACTATTTGAATTTTGCTATTTAGGATGTAGCCTGAAGAGTGTTTAACATATTAAAAGACTGGATACTTTTTGGTACTGGTAATACAAAATACAAAATTTTGCTTTTAGATTCTGGACCTGGCAAATACTATTATGATTCCTTTATTTCCAATTAATATCCAAATCCAAAGAGCTCAAGCAAAGAAATAAAGAAAGCTCATTATACAGAAAATACTTTATTGATATTTGTGTATTTCCCTGGTGGCTCACTGGTAAAGAACCCACCTGCCAATGCAGGAGACACTGGCCCAGGAGGACCCCGAATGCCCGGGGGCAACTAAGCCCGTAAGCCGCAACTACTGAGCCTATGCTCGGGCTCTCGAGGTCTAGGGCCTGTGCTCCGCCTCCGCAGAGAGGAGCCTGGGGCACAACCAGAGGAAAGGCCGTGCAGCAGCAAAGACCCAGCCCAGACAAAATAAAAAAATAAACGTCGGCCGGCGGCTTAGCCATTCTTGCCGACCTCACATGCTCCACTATCAAGCCCCTTGGGAGTCAAAAATCAGGCATGTCACAAGTTATTAGCTCAGTTACAGAGTTAAGGTGCCTATTCAGGAGGTTAAGAATTAGTCACTCAGTTGTGTCCGACTCTTTGTGACCCCATGAACTATATAGCCTGTCAGCTCTGTCCATGGAATTCTCCAGGCAAGAATACTGGAGTGGGTTGCCATTCCCTTCTCCAGGGGATCTTCCCTGACTCAGGGATTCAACCCAGCTCTCCTGCATTGCAGGCAGATTCTTTACCATTTGAGCCACCAGGGAAGCCCATCCAGGAGGTTAAGCCAAAGCAAATGAATAAGAAACAAAGACAATCTTTTTAACTACCAAAAAGATAAACCTAGAATATTTTCTGTATCAATTAAAAGGTCAAGAAAATTGCTGTAATTTTTTTCTTAATATGGGATACTAAATCACTGCGAGCTACACAAGAGTGAGAGTGCTTTATCAAAATTAAGAGATCAGTTATACCCACAAACTTACAGCTGGTCTCCGAGGTTCTCCAGGCAGTTGTGGAGGATAAACAATTTTATTCTTCTTCTCCCATTTTCGAGATATTTCAAGAGAAGCACTTGTGTGGATATGTGATTGAGGTAAAATGCTGTGAGATGAAAAAAGCCTGTAAAGCAGCAGACACTTAGAATCTTCTCCACATCTATTTTCTGAACCACATCAGCTCCATTTTGATAAAACTACTTAAGGCTCACAAGTGGGAACATTCTGGACATATTTGTTAACAGAGAGCGCTATTATATAAAATACCAGAAAGAGCCTGTAGTGTACTTAATGCTAAGAAGAGTGAAAAGTCAGTAAATCAACATTAAGTCAAGTAATAAACATATTATAATGAACAAGATATCTTATCTTTACTGACCAATAAACACTTATTTTTTAGAGACTTTCTCTTCATATATATATGATATACAACCTTATGTAAGTTTCAGGTGTACAACATAATGAGTCACAATTTTTAAAGGTTACATTCCATTTATAGTTATTATAAAATTTTGGCTATATTCCCTGTGTTGCACAATATATCCTTTAGCTTACTTATTTTATATATAGTAGCTTGTACTTTTTAACCTCCTACCCCTGTTTTGCCTCCCCCACTTTCCCTCTTCCCACTGATAACCACCAGTTTCCTGCATCTGTGAGTCTGTTTCTTCTTTGTTATATTCACTAGTTTGTTTTACATTTTAGATTCAACATATGTTATACAATATTTGTCTTTCTCAGACTCACTTATTTCACTAAAGATAATTTAACTGAAGTTCATCCACATTGTTGCAAATGGCAAAATTTCACTCCTTTTTATGGTGGCCAGTGACTACTGATTCGCTACTGTAAGTCATCTCAGTCCTAAAACAGATTTAAAGACACAGGAGATCCCTGACATGATCTGAAGAATTCCTCAACTTTGTTCAATAATCAAGACAAATAACATCATTTTGTAATCCCTAAGAAAATAAGGCATAAAGGTGGATTTATATGCCTCCTGATGTAAAAAGACACCACCCACCATCTATGAAGTAGTCTTTCTGCCAAAACCAAACCTGAATCAATCTTGAGTCAATACAGAAAAGACAAAGACAGGGAAACCTGTTAAACAACATGAAGGGGACACGCTCAACAAAATCCGAGCTGTACTAAAGTCTGTGACACCAACAGCCCACTTTCTTCAACAAACAAATCACAAGGAGAGTTTTTAAAAAGGAGCTGAATAAAGAACCTATACACAGATTATAAGAACTAAGAAAAATGTTAATGAGTGGACCTTTTTTTAAAGTTTGATTCAATGTATTTAAACTAAAAAATGACAAAACAGACAAAAAAAAACAATTTGCCCATTTTTCCCACCCCTCAACCCAAGAGGCTGCAGCCTCCTGCAACTACCAATCTGTTCTCTGTATCTATTCTGTATCTATGAGCCTAGTTTATTTTTGTTTTGTTTTTTAGATTCCACATACAAGAGAAATCAAATGTATTAGTCTCTCTGTCTGACTTATTTCACTTAGCACACTACCCTCCAGGTTCATCCTTGTCACAAATGGCAAAACTTCCTTCTTTTTTACAGCTGATTAATACCTCTGTGTGTGTTTATAGATTTATATATATCACAATCTCTTTACCTATTCATCCACTGATGGACACTGAGGTTGTCCCCGTATCCTGACTACTGTAACACAGCAATGGACAAGAGTGTGTATACATCTTTTTAAAGCAGTGCTTTTGTTTTCTTCAAAACTAGAATTGCTAGATCACATGGTAGTTCATTTTTAATTTTTTGAGGGGCTTCCATACTGTTTTTCAGGTGGCTCCACCAAGTTACATTCCCACCAAAAGTGCACAAGGCTTTCCCTTTTTGACAAATCCCTGCCAGCACTTCATAGTCTGTATTTTTTTTATAATAGCCATTCTAACAGGTGTGAAGTAGTATCTCATTGTGGTCTGGATTTGCATCTCTCTGATGATTTATGATACTGAGTATCTTTTCATGTACCTGTTGGTCACCAGCATGTCTTCCTTGGAAAAATAACTATTCAGATCTTCTCAGTTTTTAATTTGATTGTTTGGGGTCTCTGTTATTTAGTTGTATGAGTTTGCTGTATACTTCAGATATTAGCCCTTTATCAGATGTATTACCTACAGTTGTTTTCTCCCATTCAGTAGCTTGCCTTTTCATTACGTCACTGATTTCCCATGTAGAAGTTTTTTAGTTTAATGAGGCCCTATTTGTTTATATTTGTTACTGCTTTTAGTGTCAGATTCAAAAACATTATTGCCAAGACCTAGGTCAAGGAGCTTACTGCCTGCTTTCTTCTAGGAGTTTTATGGTTTCAGGTCATAGATTCAAGTCTTAAACCCACTTAATTTTGGAGTATGGTGTAAGATAGGAATCAATTTCATTCTTTTGCATGTGGCTGTCCAATAGAGACCATCTTTTCCCCATCATATATTCTTGCTCCTTTGCCGTAAGTTAATTGACAAAATATTTGTGGGTTTATTTCTGGGCTCTCTACTCTGTTCCATTGATCTATGTGTCCATTTTTATACCAATATCATACTGTTCTAATTACCACAGCTTTGTAATAGAGTTTGAAATCAGGCAGCATAATGTCTTTAGCTTTGCTCTTATTTTTCAAGATTGCTTTGGTTATTGGAGCCTTTGGAGGGTCCATACAACTTTTAAAAAGTGTTCCATTTCTGTGAAAAAACGCCACTGAAAAATTCTTTTTAATTTTGTTTACTTTATTTTTGGCTGCACTGGGTCTTTGGTGCTGCATGGGCTTTTCTCTAGTTGCTGTAAGTGGGCTACTCTCCAGTTGTGGTGCGCAGGCTTCTCACTGCGGTGGCTTCTCCTGTGAAGCACAGGCCCTAGGACATGTGGGCTCAGTAGCTGCAGCTCCCAGGCTCCAGAGCACAGGCTCAGTCACTCCACAGCACGTGGGATCTTCCCAGGTGAGGGATGGAATCCATGTCTCCTGCACTGGAAGGTGGATTATTCACCAGTGAGCCACCAAAGAAGCCCTGCCACTGAAATTTTGATAGGGATTGCACTGAATCTGTAGACCACTTTGAGTGGTATGGTCATTTAACTATAAATTCTTCCGATCCATGAACACAAAATATCTTTGCATTTTTTCTATCTTCTTCAATTTCTTTCATTAATGTCTTGTAGTTTTTAATATACAAGTCTTTCATCTCCTTGGTTAAATTTATTTTTAGATATTTTATCCTTTTTGATGAAATTATAAATGGGTTATTTGATTATCTGATAGTTCATTATTAGTATAAACAAGTTTTTGTGTATTGATTTTGAATCCTGCAACTTTACTGAATTCATTTACTTTTAACAGTTTTTTTGGAGTCTTTAGGGTTTTCTTATCATGTTATCTGTAAATAGTAAGAGTTTTATTTCTTCCTTTCCAATTTGGATACCTTTTATTTCTTTTCTTGTCTAATTTCTGCAGCTAGAACTTCTAATATCATTTTGAATAAAAGTGGCTAGAGTATGTGCATATCATCGTCTTTGTTCCTGACCTTATAAAAGTTTTTAGCTTTTCACCATTGAGTATGATGCTAGCTGTGGACTTGACATATATGGCCTTTATTATGTTCAGGTATGTTCACTCAATGCCTGCCTTTTATCAAAAATGGATACTGAAAGTTTTTATCATAAATGGATATTGAATTTTGTCAAATGCTTTTTCTGTACATCCATACTGAGATGATCATATGATTTTTTTTAAATCCTTCATTTTGTTAACGTGGTGAATTGCATTAACTGGCTTGAATGTGTTGAACCATTTTTGGAATTGGAAAGTGTTGAATACATTTTTAGAATAAATCCCACTTAATCACGGTCTATGATCTCTTTTTTTTTTTAAGTTTGGCAAGTATTTATTAGGAAGCTTATTAGTCACAGTGAATAAAAAGCCATGAACAGAAGAACTATGATCTCCAAATTCTGCCACTGGGCTTACAACACTAGTTAGAAGCTGATAAACATTAAGGATATCCCAAAGGGAAGCATATCAAAGTCCCATCTTACCCCAACCAGGATACCCACAAACACAGAAACAATGCCCATGCTCTCCTCAGACCACTTACCTGGGCAATACGAAAAAAAGACCCTCTCAAGCTATTAAGCAACATCAGGAGATTCCTGCTCTTCAAGCTATAACATGGGACACTGGTGCATGACAGACAACTCCAAGCTGGGCAACTTGACAAGAATGTTGAAAGATGACAGGGAGAAGGAGCAAGCAGGGACAAGTATTTCTAGTTGGAGAGCCTCCTGATGGTTAATACAAACACAATGCTGAGGCTTCAAAAAGTTTACACAGCAGACCAGGAATAGTTTCCATTTTAAAAACAAGTCATATAGTAATCCTGCCACAAAGCAACAAGACACTTGGGATTCCATGGCCACATAAACTGGGAAGGCAGGCATTATCCATGGCTGCCAGATACCGACCAGCCCAAGACCCAATTTCTGTAGGGCCCTAGAGAACAACGATTGTTCCCTGGCACCCACACAACCCTTCCTGGGGGTGTGGTATCTTCCACAGGCCAGGTTTCTGCAGCAAGCCCCAAAGACAAAGCTTGGCAGAGGATGTGGCAGTCAACTCTCTTTGGAGCCCCATCTCTCTCTGTCCTCCCCAATAGGATGTCATACTTCTTCAACGACACAACACCTCTGTGGGAGTCTTAGCCAGACCTTAGGAAATAAAGTGTGTCTGGGGGCAAGCTGATGGACCCTGTGGTCAGCTGGATTGGCTCATGCTTCATAATTACAGATGGTCACCTCATGTGAGCAAAGCTCAGTCCATTCTCCTCTTAGGCCAATATAAAAGACCTTTGTGGTATCAGCTCCAAAGCTTTTTGAAATATGAATTGAGAGATGACAGATATTTGAAAAATGAGAAATTTTTGTAGCATACTCTAATTCCCCTGTAAGATCCCAGTTCAGACTAAAGGTCTGATCTGGCTCCCTGTCTCTATCATCAAAGGACATCTGTGGAATGTTCCTGTACAGTCTCATCTCAGAGGGGTGTGAGTCATCATCTTCTACCACTATAATGATGCCCTTGAGCTTGACATTGCCTGTAAAATGGA